ATATATATATATATATATATTTATTATTATTATTTTTTGAGACAGAGCCTCAAGCTGTCGCCCTGGGTAGATTGCTGTGGCATCACAGCTCACATCAACCTCCAACTCCTGGGCTCAAATGATTCTCTTGCCTCAACCTCCCAAGTAGCTGGGACTACAGGCACCTGCCACAACGCTAGGCTCTTTTTTGGTTGTAGTTTATCATTGTTGTTTGGCAGGCCCAGGCTGGATTCGAACCTGCCAGCTCTGGCGCATGTGGCTAGTACCTTAGCCGCTTGAGCTACAGGTGCTGAGCCAGAACATTTTATATGTTAAAGAAATTAGCTCTTTGTAATAATGGGCTTAGATATCTTTTCCCAGTTTGTCATTTGTCTTTGTTCATGTTATGTTATACCACAGATATGTTTTTTGTTTTTATTGTAGCCTAGTCAATCATCTCTTTCTTATGTGGTTTCTAGATTTTGAGATGCTTAAAAAGGCCTTGCTTACTTTCAGGTAGTAAAAAGATTTCATTCACGTTTTCTTCTAGTACTTTGGTGGTTTTTTTTTTTTTTACATTCAATCTTTGACCCATTTGGAGTTTATCATGCTATGTAGTTACTTAAGACTCTTAGTACATCTTGCCAAATTACTTTCTTTTCTTTCTTTTTTTTTTGTTCAGCCGGCCTGGGCCTGTTTGAACCCACCAGCCTTGGTGCATGAGATGATGCTCTGACCATTGGGCTACAAAGCAAATTACTTTCTAATGTTGAATATGGATATGAATATGAATAAAAAGCTCCTGTCTCTCACCCATGCCTGTGTTTGTGTTATAATTTTATACTGAAAATAATATTGCCAAGTGTTATGCTATGTGTGTGGTTTCCTCATCTGCCCATGTTGTTTAAAAACAAAATAAAAAATGGTAGAACTGAGAGCTGTGCAGAACTGAAGTGTTACATAAAATGTTACTTTTATTTTATAGTGTGTTATATATAGTGTGATAATTGTAGACACTCAGTGGATATTTGGTTGATTGTATGCCAAGTACCCATATACTAAGTTTTATTTTTTGGCATATTTTATTTCCCTTAACACTCTATTAATTACTGGTATTATTGTTTATTTCCTCAGTTTGTGGAAGACTATGAACCTACCAAAGCTGACAGTTATAGAAAGAAAGTGGTTCTTGATGGAGAAGAAGTCCAGATAGATATTCTAGACACTGCTGGACAAGAGGACTATGCAGCCATTCGAGACAACTACTTTCGGAGTGGGGAAGGGTTTCTGCTAGTGTTCTCAATCACAGAGCATGAATCCTTTACAGCAACTGCCGAATTCAGGTATATATGAAATGAAATAACCAAAGCCTGGATGAGGCTTTCACTTTTTTCCCCCTATGTCTTAGGCTTAGAAGGAATTTGGGGCTGAGCCTAGCAGCAGAGGGTCAGGGTCATTATTAGGAAAAATTCTATCTAAAGACTTCTCTGGGGCTTTCTGAATGTTGGCATGTTATAGTCCATCATTTTTGTAATCTCTTCAGTCTTCCCTGTTCTGCGATTTCTGAATATAAATTATTCTAAGAATCTTGTTATCTCTGAAAAAAGATGAAGGTATACCATCTTTTAAGAACCTGTAATTTAGTTCGTATAAATCCTAAGAGATAGTGATTGATAAGAGTCAACTGCCTTTTTCTTGTTTACAATGTAGCTTAAAAAGTAACAACTTTGATCTGTTTGTAGATTTATGAAGCCTTGGCAGGAGAGTGAGAGGTGTGAGTCAGAATGACCATTTGCTGCTTCTTGTAAGGACTATTAGCATAGCAGAGGGGAGAGAATGTGGCTTAAAATCAGACAGACCTAGTGTGAATCCTTGTACTGGCTTTGTGACCATGGACAAGTTTACTTAGCATCAGAATTTTGTTTCTTTCTCTGAAAATTTACTTGTTAGTTGAGAAATGAGGTGACATGATACATTAGATTATGAGGTTCATACAGGTGGGAACCATGGATACCCTTCTTTGTGTCCCCAGGCCCTATCACGGTGGGTGCATGGTGCTTACATAGTAAGTAGAATGTTCACTGCTATAATTCATTTTTAAGTGTGGCTGTTAAAGATGACTTAAGTTGCCCAGGCCCACCAAACAACAATGATGGCTGCAACCAAAAAATGGCCGGGCGTTGTGGTGGGCGCCTGTAGTCCCAGCTACTTGGGAGGCTGAGGTAGGAGACTCGCTTGAGCCCAGGAGTTGGAGGTTGCTGTGAGCATGATGCCATGGCACTCTACCCAGGGGGATAGCTTGAGGCTCCATCTCAAAAAAAAAAACAAAATAAAAAAAAAAAATGACTTAAGTTCATTTTGTTATGAAGAAATAACTTTTGGGGCATACTTCTTATGTTCTGTAATTTTCCCTTCATACCCTTCCCATTTCTCTTATACAATTGTATGTTTTTTTAAAAAATCTCTTCTCCTTATAAACATATCCATCCAAATGACTTTTTATTTTAAAAAGCAGCTCTAACTTTAGCCTGGGCAATAGAGCAAGACTTTGTCTCCAAAAAAAAAAAGGGCAGGTCTAGAGTTTATGGAGAAGTAAAGAGGAAAATAAAAATCAGTAATTTTTTTCATTCTTTAGCATGTTTGGTCAGAAAATAAGGTGATCAGCCAAAGGTGAAAATGAGAACCTGAATCTGCCCTGAAGATTTGGAGGGAAGCATAGTGAGCCCCGGGGCCTTGAGGGGTGGATGCAGGGTGAGCCGGAGATGCTAAGGAGAGCCCCAGCTGGTATGCTTCAGAGCTTCCAGTCTTCAAAGGATCCAATACCGCAATCCTCTGGGAGGATAATACATGTATTGTGACTCGGACTCATTATGAGAAGTCCTATCAAGTTTTAGACTTTTCAGGTAACCCCTAGAAGGCTATGTTTTAATAGAGCCCATGCATTTATAATTGTGTATCTTCCTAGTCCTAGTCCTGTTTTTATACCTTCTTGAGGATAAAGCAGGACAGATATATGCACTCTCTTATTTTCTACCCTGTCCTGAGCTTTTTGATTTCCGATTGCTTCCTGACTCACCAAGAAAGGCTTAAGTATTGGGCAGGAGAGTCCTCTCCAGAGGATAGACCGCATCCCTTTATCCTCTCCTCTGTCACTGTGTATATGGAGAAAATAATATTCATACATTCTTGTAGAGTCAGAGCAATCTCATCTCAACTTGGAAAGGGTTTTCGTTGTTATGTGAAAAGAGGGATCCTTGAAGAAAAAGGACAGATCTATACCTAAAACAAAAAGAAGAGGAATCTAGTTCTCTTGATGTGAACTCTGGACATTTAAATGAAAGTCCCAGAGATGCCCATGTTTCTTATATCACTGGAAATAGTCTCTGGGACTTTCACTTAAAATCCTCCCAGAGGATTGAGGTACTGGATCCTCACACAGTGAGACAGTCTTACTGTGTGTCCTGAGTAGAGTACCGGGGCATCCTAGCTCACAGGATGACTAACCCTTGTGGTTAAACTCAGTCCCTTTACTTTATGCCTGTTAGCAGTTTTAAAACATCGCATTTCTGTATCTATTTTTCAAATGGAGAGGCCTCATCATAAAACCAAATGTTAAGGCTCGGCGCCTATAGCTCAACGGGCTAAGGCGCCAGCCACGTACACCTAAGGTGGCGGGTTCGAATCCCCAGCCCGGACCCGCCAAACAACAATGACGGCTGCAACCAAAAAATAGCCGGGCGTTGTGGCGGGCGCCTGTGGTCCCAGCTACTTGGGAGGCGGAGGCAGGAGACTCGCTTGAGCCCAGGAGTTGGAGGTTGCTGTGAGCTGTGATGCCACGGCACTCTACCCAGGGGGACAGCTTGAGGCTCTGTCTCAAAAAAAAAAAAAAAAACCAAATGTTAATATGCAGTCTTCCTTGTATCCCATGAACTAAGATAAATAGGCTTGTTATAAGAGACCAGAACTCTGCTCTCTCATTTTTGCATCAATATGTTTATTAATGAGGTGATTTTACATGTCCCTGCAAGGCTAATGAGCCACAAAGCTGTGACTTTTTATTGTTCGTGATTCGTATTGATCATGTAACTTCTAAATATATCATGGTTTTTGGCCCCCATTCAGATGTAGGGCATAACAAAGCAACTTGGAGGTAATTTTCAAGCATCTTTTTCTTCCTTTTTGTCTTAAAATCTTTGACATGTGGTACTTAAATTGTATGTTATCTTTAAACAGTTTTTATTATTGTGACATGTTATCCTATATCATAAATATCAATACAAATTTCCACAAAATACATTTTTGAGGGCAGCACCTGTGGCTCAAAAGGGTAGGGTGCCGGCCCCATATGCCGGAGGTGGCAGGTTCAAAATACATTTTTGAAGGAGATTCTATTTGAGATGTATTGGAATGTAGAAGTAGAAGTCTCCCCCATTAGGCCAAAGTAATGGAAATGTAATGTTTAATTTTTGTCATACTTGATCTTGATTAGTATGTTTAAAGAGATGATTATTTTTGGTAGAGGCAATGGATTTTTTAGAGAAGACACTTTTGAAGTACATTTCCATAGGCCTTGGAGTATTGCCCTTTATCTTTTCCACTTTGTAGTAGAAAAATATTGTCCGTTGAAATGTGATTACTGCTTTACGTATCGGTCCCCATTCTGCTGCCTGTAAGAGAGTCTGAATGGACAGTTTGCGCGTGTGTGCAGGTCTGGGGTGGGGGGATTATGTACACATATACACATGTGGAGATGTAATCAAAACTGAAGTTTCACAGAGCAAATTTACCTTTACTACTTGAGATTACCTGATGACCTTGGATGGTTCCTTCATATTATATTTCACTGAGGGGAAAAAAAGTCCCTCTAGATTCTGACCCACTAAATTGATTTGAGGATCCACGAAAGTACAAGTGTTGTGGTGGTCAGTTAGGTGACTAGGACTCAGTGTGAGAAGTCCCATTAAGTTTTAGACTTTTCAGATACTCCTACCAGTTCTATATTTCAGCAGGCTACTGCCTTCCATATGAAAAACACTGGATTTCATAGCTTTTATTGTCACAAAGAAATCAGACCATTTTTTAAGGAGAATTATTAAGCATTTTGTGATGATACTTTTAGCTTGTTTTAATCCTGGGGATTCAGAGTTTCTTTTCTTTTTCTTTTGTACATAGCATAAATTGGTACTCCTGCTGGAATGCAGAAATCTGGGCTATTATCCAGACACCTATTTTTGTAGGATGGTTGAGCCCAGAAATCTGCATTTGTAATGAACATCCTGGGTCATTCTGAGGCAGGCACACCGAGAACCAGACTTAAAAATATATATATATTTTTGAGACAGTCTCACTATGTGTCCTGGGTAGAGTACTGTGGCATCCTAGCTCACAGCAACCTCAAACTGTTTGGGCTTCAGCAGTGGTTCTCTTATCTCAGCCTCCCGAGTAGCTGGGACTACATGCACTTGCCACAATGTCTTTTTTTTTTTCTTTAATTTGAGACAGAGTCTCAAGCTGTCACCCTGGGTAGAATGCTGTGGTGTCACAGCTCATAGCAACCTCAAACTCTTAAGCTTAAGCCATTCTCTTGCCTCAGTCTCCCAAGTAGCTGGGACTACAGGCACCTGCCACAACACCCAGCCATTTTTTGGTTGCAATTGTCATTGTTGTTTGTCAGGCCTGAGCTGGATTCAAACCCGCCAGCTCTGGTGTATGTGGCTGGCGCCCTAGCTGCTTGAGCTATAGGTGCCGAGCCACTAGTTTTTTCTATTTTTAGTAGAGACAAGGTCTCACTCTTGCTATTTTAGACTAATCTTAAACTCCCAGGTTCAAGCAGTCCTCCTTCCTTGGCCTCCTAGAGTGCTAGGATTACAGACATGAGCCACCACTGGGCCTGGTCCAAGAACTGGACTTTGAAAACACTTGTCTAAGTTATAACTGCCTCTTTAGCTTCCTTGGAACATGCCCTAAATGTAGCAATTTCTTCTTCAGCCTTAGGAAAGTCTTTTATTTTAGGTGGGTCCACAAAACCAGGTTTGTTTTCTGGCTTTCTTAGGTACTGTATTTTTGATGTGATGTTTTAGGGAACAGATCCTCCGTGTCAAGTCTGAAGAGGATAAAATCCCGTTGCTTGTAGTGGGAAACAAGTCTGACTTAGAGGAGCGGAGGCAGGTGCCCATTGAGGAGGCCAGGAGTAAAGCCGAAGAGTGGGGCGTGCAGTATGTGGAGACATCGGCTAAGACACGGGCCAATGTGGACAAGGTAGGCACTCGCTCAGCGTGTTTCTTAGAAATAGAAGCAGACTGTAGCGCTCTGGGAGGCTGAGGGGGGTGGATTGCTTGAGCTCACGAGTTCGAGACCAGCCTGAGCAAGAGCAAGAGCAAGACCCCATCTCTAAAAATAGCCAGATTCTGTAGCAGGTACCTATAGTCCCAGCTACTTGGGAGGCTGAGGCAAGAAGATCATTCAACCCCAAGAGTTTAGGTTGCTGTGAGCTGATGCTATGGCACTCTACCAAGGGTGACAAAATAAGACTCAGAAAAAAAAAGAGAAAGAGATAGAAACAGACTTGAGAAACTGCAGAATGCAGATGTGTCACCTGTGTGTTTTTGTGGGAACTGTTTGTGGGGACTAGGTGAAGACGCTGAGTTCTCCAGATGTGTGAGCCATTGTAATGAGAAGCATTGAGAGCATCAGGCCCTGGAGTCCTTTTGCTTCGACATGAGGCTTCTTTAAAGTATGCTCAGTGTTGCATAGTCCTTGGAAGTGTGGCATGATGAGGCCGTTGGTTGTGGGGACTGTGCCGGAGGGATGGACGCAGCTGGCGTCCTCTCACCTTCCCATTGCTCTTCAGGAGCAGGGCTGACCAGGAGGTTCCCTGAATGTGACCTGGGGAGAAACGGGGGTTTCTTGATTTTGCTCTCATTGAGTTATGGTTAGATTGATTCTTTTCACTGACAGAGCCAGGGTGATCTGTATTTATAGTTAGTCTCTAAGTAGTATTTGCTCTCAAGACCTCTTTTCTCTCTCTTTATCCCATAGCCAACGCCAGCAGTACTTTCTCGTTCTCTGAAGCTAATGTGAGGGTGACCTTGATAATGCTGAATGTTGACAATTTGAAAGACCACCTGCGGGGGTTGCTGTTGTTAGACTTCATTTTTTCTTTTTTATTTATTTATTTTTTTTGAGACAGAGTCTCACTTTGTCACCCTGGGTCTCACCTGACACCCTGCCATGGTGTCACAGCAACATCAAACTCTTGGATTCAAGTGATTCTCTTGCCTCAGCTTCCCAAGTAGCTGGGACTACAAGTGCCTGCCACAACCCCTGGCTTTTTTTTTTCTTTTTTTTTCTTAAGAGATGGGGTCTTGCTCTGGCTCAGGCTGGTCTCGAACTCGTGAGCTCAGGCAGTCCACCCGCCTCAGCCTCTCAGAGTGTTGGGATCACAGGCCACCACATGCGTGGCTGTTTTTTCTTTTTTAAAGTAGGTTCCCATTGGCTGCCACACAGTTAAAATCTTTAAACATTAAAGTTGAGGCTTTCGCCTTGCTCGTTAGCTCTTACCTCATGATCCATGCTCTTGCAAAATGGAAAGCCATTGCAGTTTGGCAGCGAAATGGTGGGCCTGGTATGCGGCTTCAGTATCCAGGTCTCCCACATCCCTTCTTCTGTTTCTCTTCCTTGTGGAGAAATAAAGAAATGCTGCCCCTTTGCTTCTTACCTGGTGTAGGGAGATTTTTAACCAAGTGACATGGTGTCAGAACAACCTGGGTATTTAGACCATTGGTGTTAGAAGGGGCTCACTGTGGAAGCACCTTGGCAGCACCCACGGGTCCAGTTGGTTGTTGTCTACAATGTAAAGTGTGTGTATCATCAGCTGCGTTTCCTTTCAAATTATCTCAACTCTTATGTTGATTCTTATGCTATTCAAAATCTTTCTTTCTATCGGATTATTTCCTAGCTATGGGAAACATACAGGAAGTCCAGACATAGGCTTCATTTTTAAAAAATCAGGAAGACTTTCTCAGCTTGGAGCTGTTGATGTGTACTTTTTGGATGGGGTAGGATTGGGCAAGGGGGCCGTCCTCCCTCCTCCTCCCTTGCACCAGCTTGACCTGCCAGACAGGAACCAGCAGAAACTTATGACTGGCAGCATTGTATTCACTTGTACAGAATTTACATAAAAGATGTGATAAGATCAGCCCATGAACAACTTTGTCATCATTTTACTTGGACAAGCTCCATTCCCCTCCTCCTGCCTTTTGCTGTTAGGAGAAAAGGAAAAACCTGTAACATTTGAAGCCGTTCACAGTGCTGTCATGGGCAGGCTCTCTCCTGAGAGGCTGACGTGCAGGGGTACTTGGGTCAGCCTGACCAGCTGGGCCGGAGGGGGCTTCTCTGTGCCTGGAGCCCGTGTAAATGCTCAGGGGTCCCACACTCCAGAACCTTGATCTTGCAGAAGAAGGACTGTGGAGCTTGTGGTTTTGTGGGAATGTCCAAAGATAAAAGCCCATGCTTGGTCTCACGCTCGGACTCCCCATCACTCTGTGAGAAGGCTCAGATGTCTCTTTGTAGAAGGCATATTTTGTCTGCTTGGGTATAATCAGTTATCTGGCAAGATTGCTGGTAGCAGAGGGCAAAACCCAAACTACCGTGACACATGATAATCTGTATCTAATAGTACCCTGGCATTCAGAGGACAAGTCTCATCAGTTCGTGATAAAGTTCCTTTCAGCTGACATCACAAGGAATGGAGGAGTAGTTGTTCCTGAGGACTGGAGTGGGAGGGGTGCATGGGAAGGGATACTGTGGCAGGAAGGACATCTGGCTCCCCCCGCCCCCGCCTCAGTTTCATGGTGCCGGGCCTCAGTGATTCACTGCCTCATGCCCTCCTCCTCCCACTCTGCTGCCTTCTGGGGGGCTGTTGTAGACTTATACTGGGCGAGGTGTCATGCAAAATGATGGTCCCCTTTTTTAGGGTTCTGTAAGGATTAAATAAGACACAGAGGTGAACAGAGCACCCAGTAACAGGTCCCCACACCCTTCTCTTCTGTGGTGGTTGGACATGCTTGAAAATCGGATTGTTGTTGTCACTGTCAATATTTGTGAATTTCACAAAGCTGTAGGTTTATTCTATCTGTGCAAAAAGCATGTTTTACTCTTCATCATACTTATCATTAAAAAGAGATTCATCATTTCAAAATTAGCTGTTGAACGGCAGCGACAGTGTGATGATTCAGTCCTTAGCTTGCTAAGGTGCAGAGGTGTTTATGTTGTATCATTAGAATGTTTTTAGAGTTAATTATTCTTACTTGCTCTAGATCCTTTGTTTTTGTTGGCATATGTTTTATAAAAATAAGTTTAGCTTTATATGTTAAAATATAATTCCATATCCAGCTTAGTTGATGGCTTTTTCTTCTCTGTTCTTTTTATCCCTCCCACCCCACCCCCAGGTGTTTTTTGACCTAATGAGAGAAATCAGAGCAAAGAAGATGTCAGAAAACAAAGATAAGAATGGCAAGAAAAGCAGCAAGAACAAGAAAAGTTTTAAAGAAAGATGTTGCTTACTGTGAATGTCGAGGTGGTGGAGGAAGTCAGTTGCTACCAGGACACAGGGCTGGGTTGGTAAAGAGAAGACTGCAGTTGACTTTTTGATGGTGCTTCCTGCTCTCCCCAGCCTGGTTCATGCATACTTCTTTAAATGGGGAAAATATCTGTGACTTGGTGGCTGGTAGAAGAAGTAAGCCTTTGTCCATGAATGGAATGGCTGCTTTGTTAGATTTTGGAGTTTCTTCCCTCCTCCCAAAAGCTTAACTACATCTGTAGTGTTACAGGTAGGAAACAGGCAAGTGTTAATTACGTAGAAAAATATTGTCCTGGTGTTTTACTTTGTTCCTAGTTTTATAACATTACCTACCATCTTTTGTTTTGAAATAAAACTGTCTCATTAGGTTTTGGAAGAAGAGAGTGGAGTAAGACCTCCCCTCCCCCACATTTATCAGTTCAGCAGTAGCAATGAGAAACATCCATTAAACTCTAATGATACTGAAAAATCCACAGATTTTTTGGATAAATTTCTTGGCAATACCCTGTAGATCTGAAGCACAGCTAAAAAAGTGAATTTCAAGTGTGCCAAATAGGTCACTATCGAGTTTATGAATTCTCCTTGTATATGAAAAATGAACGTTGTTTTCTTCATGTTTAAGCATTTGCCAATTATAGCCCGTGTTGGCAATTTTTCTCTTGTAGCATCCCAATTTGTGTGTAGGAACTTTTTTGTTAGACTGAGTAAAGACTCAAGAGTAGTGTACTTTATAAATGACCCACTTTTCTTTCTTTCTTTCTTTCTTTTTTTTTTTTTTGAGACAGAGTCTCACTTTGTCACCCTTGATAGAGGGCTATGATGTCATAGCTCACAGCAACCTCAAACTCTTGAGCTCAAGCGATTCTCTTGCCTCAGCCTCCCAAGTAGCTGGGACTACAGGAGCCCACCAGAACACCTGGTTATTTTTTTTTTATAGATGACGTCCTGCTCTGGCTCAGGATAGTCTCGAACCTGCAAGCTCAGGCAGTCCACCCCCCTCAGCCTCCCAAGTGCTGGGATTACAGGTGTGAGCCACTGTGCCCAGCCCCATGACCCACTTTTCTAATCAGATTTTTTAAAAATTCCTTAGCTAAGTCCCCTCCTAATTGCCCTCCCTGGTTAAGTCCCCTCCTTCTCCACTAGAAATTGAGGTTCTGTCTTCCTGATCAGTATCACTCTGCTGGCAGAGGTCAAGTGAGCCTCTTTTGTTTCACAGAGTATCACACAAATTCTTCTGAAAGATGGGATGTGTTAAAATTGTCTTCTGAAATCATGAAGCCAGAGCCTATGCCAGACCTTCTGCTACCTCTTGTAGAACTGCTCTGTGATTCCACATCTAAAATTAGAGGAAGTGGGGAAAGATAAGCAATTGCCCCTTTACTTCGGAGAATTGGCTAATACAATTCTTTGCTAAGATAGCCAGATAGTTAGAAAAATATTTTTTTGATGAGATATTGTTTATCTTTCTTACTGTATCAGTATTCTAAATTCAGCAATCAGAAAAATTTTCATCAGAAGGGAGGACTGTGATAAAAGCCCAAGTATTCAGCATACGTTTTCCCCATTTTTCAGAAGTGACATTTCATGTATAGGTGCCAAAAGTGAATTGGGATGGGGAGAGCAGGAACCTTTGGAATTTATGATTATTATAGATGTTATAGAAATTATGATCTAACTGGGAAACAATCTTGTATCACGTCCCAAAGAATCATGGGCTTTTTTTGAATAAAAACAAAGCAGACAAATAGACATTTTCAGTATTTCAGCCTTTTCATTTCACCTTTTTGTCATACATGTGAAGCATGAGTATTCAAGGAACTGACAGTTCTTTATAGTTCTTGTCAGCTGTTTTGCAGGATCGAACAAACTATTTCAATTAACCCTGTTAATTGAGCTGTGGGAAATAAAATTATAAATATAAATAGCAATTTTAACTTGTCCTCTCCTTCAGGAGAGATCACTCTTAAAATTTAAAAGTTGAGGGTAATTACTCTTTTAAATTTCTGAAATAACTTTTGTGTTTTCATCCTAGTTTGCTACCTGTTTAATATAAGTTCTGGTCAAAAGTAGGTAAATTTAGAATATGTATAAATGCATCAAAGATGGTATGACTTGTTTCATGTTATAGAAATTATATTTGGTAGATACTGTTAGTGTATTTCTAAAATTATATTTGACTGGCTAGCAGTCAGAAGCGGATCTTCCTAACAAAATAATTTATTGTACATATGAGATTCTTTGTCATAGAAAAATAGGGAAGCAATGCTGTTTATACATTTGAAACCTACTTATAGTAGGATTAGGTATTTTGCCAATAGTTTATTTTTCTGAAGTATTCTACAAATATTTGAACACCCACTGAGTGTCGGGCTGTATCCTAGGTGCCAGGGAAATAGTGTTGAATAAGATAAGCAACATCTCTGCTGTCCCAGAGCTTATGCTTGAGTAAGGTAAGAGACAGACAGATGAAATTATAAGGGTAAATGCTTTAATGAAAATAAAACTGAGAAATATTATAAGAAATGTCTTTAGTGTATAGAGATGGTTTAGATTGGATGGTCCATAGGCTTCTCCAAGGAAGTGACAATTAACCTGAAATTGCGTGGCCTGAAGGAGCCGGGTTTGAGGAACGAGTGGGCTGAGTGCAGGACTTTCCAGACCAGGGCACGGTTGGAGCTGGTCCCAAGGCCCTAAGGCAGTGGTTCTCAACCTTCCTAATGCTGTGGCCCTTTAATACAGTTCGACCTATAGGTTGAGAACTATTACCCTAAGGTGTTCAGGAAAAGCCCACAGACCACTATATATGGCTGGAGTATGAAGAGGGAGGAGCAGAGTATTAAAAAAAGATGTAACAGTCTGTGATTTCGTAAAGCAATGGAGAGGAAAAATACCTAGACACACAATTTCCTACCCGTATCCTATTTCATCAAATCCAAGATGCCATCGATCACAAGACAATGTCAACATAATTTATATACCAGTAATAAGAACCCGACCGAGTAAATGAATCTGTCTTGATTTCAATTACATAAAAATGTGGGAGAAAATGATGTTTTAGATTAATTATGGTACCGGCAGTCCCTGGATAACGAACAACATAGGTATGTATGTGTACATACAACAGCATCCGTATGTAAGTTGGAACAGGTACATCTTTACCTATTATCTGTAAGAGGCTCCATTTGTAAGTTCAAGTTGTACGTCAGTCAGATGTTTGTAACTCAAGGACTGCTTGTATATAAATTTAAATGACAAGTGAAATATAAAATTCACCTCTGTTGGGCTAGAAACTACATTGTAATAAAGCACTATTGAAGCTTAACAGTGTTTGAAAGGTTAATATTCATAGGGCGGCGCCTGTGGCTCAGTGAGTAGGGCACCGGTCCCATATACTGAGGGTGGCGTGTTCAAACCCACCCCCAGCCAAACTGCAACAAAAAAACAGCCAGGCATTGTGGCAGGTGCCTGTAGTCCCAGCTACTCGGAAGGCTGAGGCAAGAGAATCACCTAAGCCCAAGAGCTGGAGGTTGCTGTGAGCTGTGAGATCACAGCACTCTATTGAGGGCAACAAAGTGAGACTGTGTCTCTAAAAAAAAAAAAGTTAATATATATGTTAATATTAATAGTTGTAAACCTGACTTTAATTGTTGCACTTTAAAAATTCACTGAAAGAGTTTATCAAAATTATAACTGCAGGGTGGCACTTGTGGCTCAAAGGAGTGGGGCACTGGCCTCATATGCCGGAAGTGGTGAGTTCAAACCCAGCCCCAGCCAAAAACTGGAAAAAAAAATTTATAACTGCAGAAGCTTTAAAATCTAAAGGCCTAGACCTGCTTGTTGTGGAGGGTCTTTAGTCTTTTTCTTGGAGACAGAATCTCACTCTGTTGTCCTGGTTAGAGTGCAGTGGCATCATTATAGCTCGTTGCAACCCCCGTTACTGGGCTTAAGCTATCCTCCTGCCTCGGCCCCCCCAGTAACTGGTACTACAGGTGCAGGCTACATACAAGTGCCTGGCTAATTTTTCTATTTTTAGTAGAGACAAGGTCTTGGTCTTACTCAGGCTGGTCTTGAACTCTTGAGCTCAATTAATCCTTCTACCTGTCCTCCTAGAGTGCTAGAAGTTACAGGCAGTCCCTGAGTTACAAACATCCAACTTATGTACAAGTCACACTTATGAATGAGGCTATGACAATAAATCCCCAAGTTACAAACATCCAACTAACCTACAACTTGCATTTATGAACAGAGCTGATTACAGGTAATAGGTTAATGGACCTGTTCCAACTTACATACAGATTCAACTTAAGAACAAACCTGCAGAACCTATCCTGTTCATAACCCAGAGAGTGCCTTTATAGGCGTAAGCCACCGTGCCCAGCCTGGAGGGTCTTTAGTTTTGCTGTTTCTACTCCAGCCCTGTTCTTTTTTTTTGAACAGAGCCTCAAGCTGTCCCCCTGGGTAGAGTGCTATAGCATCGCAGCTCACAGCAACCTCCAACTCCTGGGCTCAAGCGAGTCTCCTGCCTCAGCCTCCCAAGTAGCTGGGACCACAGGTGCCTGCCCCAACGCCCAGCTATTTTTTTGTTGCAGCCATCGTTGTTTGGTGGGCCCGGGCTGGATTTGAACCCACCACCTTAGGTGTATGTGGCTGGCGCCTTAGCCACTTGAGCCACAGGCGCGGAGCCTCCAGCCCTGTTCTTTAAAGGCCACATCTAACCTTTTCTCTTCTCAGATCATTCTTTGGTTCTTCCTCTATTCCTAAATAATATTCTTATGCCATTATGTCTTGATTTTCAATCTCAGACGTCTCCAGTGATTTAGCCCACCCAATCTCTTTACTCCCATCACCATTGTCACTGTTTTAATTCCTTTTCTTGATGACTGCCATACCTTTTAAAATTATGTGTTTAAACTTGTGTGTCTTATCCAGGTAGCTCTTCAAGGTGTCACTTGGCTCCCCACTTGGAAAGGTGAGGACATTAGCACTCCTGCCCTTTCTCTCTGGACCCTCCTCTCCTCCTGAGCTTTCATCAGCTCTTCCTGCTCTATTATACCCTCGTTTCCTTCTCAAGGTGGATGACGTGATGCCCATTCTGTGGCCATTATTCAGATACAGAAAGATAGAGAACCAGTCGACAGTGGTGTGAGGACCCTGATTTATGCAGATCGCCTTCAAGGAGCCCTGGCGCAGTCGCATGTTTTTCCACTTGCAGGCAGGTTCTTCACACGAGGGGAGCGTTCCTGTCGTGTGGTCAAGTGGACTCTTCCATCCTTTGCAGGAATCGTGCTTTATTTTGGCTCACTTCATCCTTGTCTATTTCCTATGTATCCTCCCCACCCCCAGGCCATTTTTCCTGAAACCACTTTTTTCTTGATGAGAGAATACCTTGTACTTCTTCCCCTGAAGTCAGTTTCTTTTTCTTTCCTTCTGAAGGGTGGAATCTGCATAGAGCTCATTGATTGCCCCGTGTAATTTGGGCTGACTCCGTGTAATTTGGGCTGACTACGTTTTAGGTACTGAGATTGGTTTTTATCAGACACTTGGGTTAATCCCATACTTTCCTGAGTCTCGTATCTTCCTGTTTGAGTTTATACTCTCATTTTACTGGAGTACATTTTCAGGAAGGGTGCGCTTTTCATACTCCTCAGCATACATGAGAGTGTTGCTATTTTGCCCTTTATTTGACTGCTGTTTTGGCCTGGAGCAGAATTCTGGGTTCAAAATAATTTTCCCTGGGAACTTGGACGGCTTGGGTCTAGTGTCCTCAAACAG